ACCACTCGTCCTGGTCCTCCACGCTCTTGCACTCCGTCAACTCAGTCATTCCCTGCACTGCGCCTTCGCCACCAGCGCCCCAACATATATACTGTCCATGGTCCTCCGTGGCACCCGGCGCGTATTTCCTCGCGTTTTTCAAGTACGACGTCGGAAGCGCATTAATGGCTGTCCCTGACGGCGGCTCCAATTGATAGAACTCCCCGCAGAACAACACATTCACCCCTCCGAAAGACCCCGGCACGCCGTCTCCATCTACCTTCGCGCCGCTTGCTGCTGACATGCACGAACGCAACTGCGAATCGAGCTCTGCCAGGAAGTTCGCGCTGACCATACTCACCTCGTCTACTATCAACCACTTCCACTGTGACATACGCTGCGCGGCCATATCCTTCTTCGTCTTCTTCTTCTTCGACTCCAAGCTCGCGTCGCCCCCCGCATTGGATCCCTTTGTTTCGTACACACCGATGCCAAATGCACTGTGGATAGTATTCCCGTCGAGAGCCGACGCGTTTGTCGCCTGCAACGCAGCCACCTGGAAATCTACGCCGTGCGCCCACCCCATCTCTTCTTCGAACAGCTCCTTCCGTATCTTGTCAATTACGAAACTTTTCCCGGCCCCTGGACCACCATGCAACATCCACACGATGGGCTGCGTATTTGCACGACTCTGAACCCCCGAACTCTTGCGCCAACGCCCGATCTGCCACCTTCTGGACGACGCTACGCTGCCCCTCGTTCAACCCGCTGTCCGCCAGCCCATTTCTCCACTTCCGCACGCTATACGCAGAGGCCTTCTTGGCCGCCACCACTTTCGGGCCACCTTCCGTTTCACCCGTAAAGCTTCCTCCTCCGGCGCTCGACGCCGCGGCCGCCGCCGGCGCCCTCTGCACTGCCGCGTCATCCCACCTCAAGACGCCGTCCCCTTCGCGTTTCTTGCGTTTCACGCTGTTCCGACTGATTCTCTCGCCCCACACGGCGTCGCCCCTGGCCATGGCCTCTCGGCTCTTCTCCTTCTCGCACTCTGCATCAGCATTCGTCCGCCTGTCCTCCTTCCCCATGGAAGTACCTCCCACGCGCGTCATTCGTCTCGTCGCTGCGTCGACAATTCTGGGGTCCAGCTCTTCATCGCTGTACACCTCGTCGTCGTGCTTCACGAGGTCGTTCTCCGTGACTGGTCGCAAGTCTACCACGCCCATGTAGTTCTGCACGTACCTCTTCGTTTCTTCACACGGCATGCCTTTCTTCAACCACTCTAACGAGGCCTCGGCCCACGACCCCTGCGCTCCGCGGAAATCGCGCAGGTGTGGTACTCCACAATCAACATCCTCAAGAAGTGTGAATGCCCTGAAGTATACCTTCATGAAAGAAGCTTCTGAAGCGAGAGCAGAAAACTCGAAAATCACGATTTTTTGGTTTCATACAAAGTCGGTTGAAGTTCCAGCAAGTCTTTTGATCGTAATATTGCACCTGAATACCTGATAATTTCACTGGCAAGCGCGACATAACCCACTATACGTGGAAAAAATACCCGTTCTCGAAATAAAGAGAACAAAATTGGCAGCGTCCAAAACCCGGAGAGCAAAGACACCTCCCTGGACAAGAAATCTTTTCTGGTGAACTCCTCGGGGCCCCCGGAAGCCCTTCGAAAGCACTGCCAGGCAAGCCCCCATGCGTGCCTGCACGCGTGCAGGCTGGCGTGGACGCGTGCGTCCCTGCAGAGCTCTGTCGCACCCCCCTGGGGCGCCTGCAGAGCTCTGTCAAACTCTTCTGAGACGATCCTGCATTGCTGCGGATACGCTGCCGGGCCGGGCGAGGCGCTGCGGGGATCGTGGGCCAGCGGAGATGGGCTGCTGGCGGGCACCACCACCGTGTGGCTTCTAATCTAAAACCCTCTAGCTCTCTGGAGAGCTCTCCGGGAATCTTGGCAGCCTCCAAAACCCGGAGAGCGAAGAGACTCTTCGGGGACGGGAAATCTTTCCTGGAGAGCTGTGCGAAGCTCCCCTTCAGCGCTGCCGAACCGCTGCCAGAAACGCTTCCATGCGCGCCTGCACGCGTGCAGGCACGCGTGGAAGCTTGCCGGAAGCTCTCCCGGACCAGCTGCCGGGCCGACCCCTGCGGGGATTTTGGACCGCCGCGGAGGAACTCCTGGCGGGACCACCACCGTCCGGCTTCTAATCTTAAGCCCTCTAGCTCTCAGCGAGCTCTCCGGGAATTTTCAACCCGCCAAAAGTCACCAAAGGTCCGTCGAGATGGTGGCGTCCATCTTGGTAGCGTCCAAAACCCGGAGAGCAAAGGGCGAACGCACCAGAAATCTTTCCTGGCGAGCTCTCCAACGCTCCCGTAAAGCTCTTCTGGCGCTCTGGGAAGCTCCCCTGCAGCGCTGCTGAAGCGCTGCCAGAAACGCTTCCATGCGTGCCTGCACGCGTGCGGGCACGCGTGGAAGCTTGCCGGAAGCTCTCCCGGACCCGTCGTCGGGTCAGGCGAGTCGCTGCGGGGAACGTGGACCGCCGCGGAGAAGCTCCTGGCGGGCACAACCACCGTCCGGCTTCTAATCTTAAGCCCTTTAGTTCTCAGCGAGCTCTCCGGGAAAAACCCGGAGAGCAAAGGGCACACGCGCACCAGAAATCTTTCCTGGCGAGCCCTCAAACGCTTTCGCAAAGCCTTTCTGGCGCTCTGGGGGGCTCCCCTGCAGCGCTGCACGCCTCAAAATTGATACGCGCTGGCGCTCCCGAGGCCACGAACCTCACGAAGGCCGCCAACAAGCGCCATCCCCTCTGCAAATCAGAACACCTGTAATGATATGTGTTGGGATATGTGTTCGGGCACGGCAGTGATCTGAAGAAAAAACCAAACGGAAACCCAACACGATCCTTGAAGAACATGCAGGAGATCCTCCTGATGGAATGCGGCTGTCAAGTGTCGGGGTACAAGACCCAGCGGGTACATTTGACACCCGTCGCCGCCAGGTTGGCTACCTACCGCTGGGGTGCCAGACCCGAACGGGCGCGGTTGGGAACCAAATTGAATGACGGACCCGAAACACCAACGATGTAAGAGAACACATGCGATCACACATGCGACAGACACCGTCGTCATCCATCCTCTGGACCAGCCGCCCCACGCATCCCTGCTCCGCTGTCGTCATCCTTGCCAACCCGATTGTCATTCCCTTGATTGCCCTCCACCTTTTCCTCGTCCTCCTCCTCATTATCAGCAGTCCACCTCAACCCGCTCACCCTTTGTTGGGAATCGCGAAATGGCACCGCTGGCTCTCCAGACCAGCATTCAACTTTTCAGCCTTCACGGCGTTCAAAACCGTCCACGAGGTCCCCACGGCCGCCCGAAGATGGCCAAAGAAGGTCCCAAGAGGCTCTCCAGACGGCCCAAAAGAACTCCAGGACGGCCCCAGAGGCGCCGTAGACGGCCCAACAGAGCTCGAAGACGGCCCCAAGAAGGGTCCAACAGAGGATCCACGAACCTAGAATTCCAACCTTCCTCCCACTGAGGCCCCAAGAAGATCCCACAATGCCGCCAAAAAGCCCAAGAGAACCCCATGAAGCACCCAAAGGGTCCCAAGGAGCCCCCAAGAGGCCCAAAAGAGGCCCCACGTGGCGTGCCACTTCCGGGACCCGTGGCCCCCCACAGACACGGCAACACAAGAAACAAGGGGTCGGCGGATGTGGCGTAAGCCTATAGAATCATTTTTTTTTCTACTTTGGACGTTCTCACTTTTCCACTTCCCGCCGCTCCAAGACGGCGCAAGAGGCGCCAAGATAGCACCAAGACGGTCCAAGATGCCTTCAAGAGGGCCCCAAACCAGCCCAAGAAGATCCCCAAACAGCCCAAAACGCCTACAAGACGGCAAAAGAGGGCCCCAAGACGGCTCCAAGAGCGTGCCCAGACGGGGGACCCGAACGGACATTTCGAGCCCTCGGCCCCGAGAGGCCCCCAGAAGGCCTCAAGAAGTTTCCAAGAGGCCCCAAGAGGCCCACAAGAGGTCCCCAGAAAGCCCGAAGAGGCCCCCAAGAGGCTTCCAAGAGGCCCCCAATAGGCTCCCAAGAGGCCCCACAATTCCTCCCCAAGATGCACCCGAGAGCCGTCCGAAGAAACCCCAAGAAGCATCCCTGAGGACTCTGGCCCACGTCAGCGTCGTCGTCGTCGTCGTCGTCGCAGTCGCCGTCGTTGTCTCCTTCAGGGTCGGCGGCACTGGCCGTAAGGCATTCGCAATACATGGAATGACCTGTAGATCTACGGAGCAATCTACGCATTATTCGTAGACTCAACCACACCACTATCTTGGGGGTCAATCAACTCTGTAGTCGATGCCCTACTTGAGGACCGCAGCCATTTGCCCCAGAGGCCCCACAGAGGGCCGTGCTAGCAGCACGGCCCTCTGCCCAGACACGCGTTGATTCCAAGACAGAAGCCATCGCAAGGAGTGCGCACCGGAGCCCAGACCACGAGGGCGCGGCGACATCCGCTCGTGACCCCTGCCGACGGTCCCCACCCCGCTCGCAGGGCTTCGGGCTGCGCACAGACGCCCCCCCCAGGTAGTCCCAGCTGGCCTCAAAAGGCCTGCATATCGTCCCAGCTGGCCTCAGCAGGCCCCCCAAGTACAGTCAGAACTGATAGTCAGGATGCGTCAATAGGGTGCAAGCCCCTGGGCATATCGAAGCTTTTCGAGCGGGGCAGAGGCAAGGATGCCAGGGCACCCTGGGGAAGGCTGCCCATCCTTATCATCGGTTTCGACTGCAGTCCCAGCTGGCCTCAACAGGCCCCCCGAGTTGCCTGGTGCGGTCTCGACACCCTGGCGCCGCCTCTGGCGGCGCCCTGGTTGGAATGTTGAGTTCGCCCTGGACTACTCGGGGGGCCTGTTGAGGCCAGCTGGGACTACTCGGGGGGCCTGAGGCCAGCTGGGAATACCTGGGGGGGCTGTCCGTGCGCAACCCGAAGCCTTACCTGCCCCCGCCCACGTGAGGCGATGGTCCGGGCGGCGCCTGCGAGACGGGGGACCCGAGCACGTTCATGGCGGTCTGGAACTCCTGGAATGACAGGTGGCCGTCGCCATCCTGCACCGGCCCCAAAGGCCCTGCACCGCTCCCCCGGCCTCCTCGAGCGGACTGGTCTGCCTTGTCAGCCCCAGCGCTTTCCCTCCACCTCGGCATCCTCAGACCTCCACCCCCGACGCCTTCACGCAATGCGGCAACTGTCGGCGGCGAGCGAGGGGGGGAAGCGAGAAGGGGCGGGCCTTCTCAGAAGGCTCGGAAGTCCCCTGGCCTTCTGGGAAGTTTTCAAAGCCTTCCCCGAAGACACAGAGAACTTCTCAGAAGGCGCGAGGGCTTCTGAGAAGTCCCGCCGCCTTCTGAGAAGGCCTTCTCCTTCTCCTTTCCCCCCTCGCAGCACGCCGAAATTGGCACGAGCTTGCCCCTCTCGTGCACCGATCCCCAGAAGAGGAACAAGGCTATCAGTGACACGCCGCCGTGCGGAACCCATCAGCGTGCTAGTGCTGACGACGACGACGACGACGACGACGACGACGACGACGACGACGACGGCGACGAGCACGGCGACGACGACAACGACGACGACAGCGACGACGACGACGGTGACGACGACGGTGACGGTGACGACGACGGTGACGACGACGACGACGACAACGGTGACGACGACGACGACGACGACGGTGACGACGACGACGACGACAGCGACAACGACGACGGCGACGACGGCGACGACGACGGCCACGACGACGACGCCGCCGTGCGGAACCCATCGACATGGGACAAGCACGAAGGAGTAGCACGCTGACGGGCGCCCCACGACAGCGTGTCGGCGGTGCGTTCCTCCCGCCCCGGACCCCCCGCGAGCGTGCCACCTCCCCCGATCCATGGATTTGGCGACCGCGCGCCAAATCCATGGATCGCTAATCCATGTCTGCGCGCCCCCGAAAGACGAAAGACGGTGTGCATGGCGGCGCCGCCATGAAGTCGCCGCGTCGAGCGACCGGTCGCCGTCGGTCGACGATCGAGCGCCGTTTACTGCCGCAGGCGGCGCTGACGCCCGCCGCGGCCGCGGCGCTCCGGCCGCCGCCGCGGAACGGCCGCGCCGCGGCGGCGGCGCTCCGGCCGCCGCCGCCGCCGCCGCTGCCGCCTTGCTGCACCGCCCGGCGCGCTGTCGAAGTACCCGTTCCCAGACCCCCGAGGTCACGTTTTTGCCTTCACGTCGGCCTCCAGAGGTCTCGACCCCTTCCCCGGGACAGGCTCTTCATCCCGAGTCGTTTCATGGACGTCCAGAGGCCCAGTGAGGGCCCCCAAAGGCTGAAAATGGGGAAAGTCATTCCGTCGTGACTTTCTAATGACTGGAAGGGGTCTGGGGACGGGGGAAGGTTTCCGCTTCCGATTTTCGTTTGGCCCTCCGCCAGATACGCAAACGCACGAAGGGTGGGCGAGCGACACAGGCAGCCGTCCCTGCTGCCGCCCTGATTACCACCACGAAGACCGCTGCCCTAACTCTGTCTACTGCAGAGCGCAACGTGACATCTAAAACAAAACCTTCCCCTGTCTGCGGGAGCCGTTTCCGTCATACATGCTTCCAGCACAACGCGCTCGCCCTGGGGAGGTGTGCCAAGACGTCTGGGGCCCCGCGACGAAACACATTTCAATCCGTGGGGTGCCTGCGCCTCCGGGCACGCCGCACAACTGCTTGCCCGCTTCCCGCCTCCCGAGGTGCCAGCAGGGCCGGCTGACGTCCTCGTGGGTGCGCGGCCCCGTGGCGGCCGTCGTGCAGGCTGTGTACGACTTGGGGGAGCCCACCTCGTGGCGCCTTGCAGACGGCGCCTCGCTCGACCTGACAGCCGAGCCCACGGTGCGCATTGCCAGGGAGGCGGCGGAGGCAGCTTGGCGCACATTCTGGAGGCAAGCTGCGCAGGATCGGCGGCGCGACACCGCCAGCGTCGAGCAGGGGGGCGCATTCGCCGCCGCATGGCGCCTGCTGACGACAGCTGAGCTGCGCGAGGCAGACGCCCTGAGGTGCGTGCTTCTTGGCGCCACCAGCACGCTGGCGCGGGCTGCCTGGCAGGATCGACCCGAGGGCCGCTGCGACCGCTGCGGGACGCCCGACTGCGGACCAGGTCCACCGCTTCTTCGCTGGCCTGGCGCGGCAGGCTGCGCGCGATGCGGCAGCCGCAAGAGCTCGCCGATCGATGCGTGCAGCGCGCTCCGGCCGCCTCCCTCTGCCGCGACCTGGTGCCCGCGGAAGCCACACGCATCACTGTAAGGAAGTTCCTGGGAAGAGGGCGCCCCGACGCATGGTGGCAACAACCGAACCACCCGCGGCTCGCTGGATTGGTGGCCACCGACTGGGGAGACCAAAAGGTACCGATACCACTACTCCCCAGACCTCTCATGGGGCGCGTTCTAAAAAGGATTTCGAGGCGAATCCAGCGGTGGCGACGAGGGAGGCCCAGGAGGCCGAAAAACGGGAAAATGGGCGAAGAGTGAGTTATGGGTACCTCTTCCTCCTCTGACCGACGGCACGGCGGCCCATCTGGGCGACCACCCCCTTCGCCGTGCGGCGTGGGGCGTGGCCAGCGCCGGCGGGAGCCTGATGGCCTGTGGCGCCATGACTGGCACGGACCCGACTGTCTACTAGGCGGAGGTCTGTGCCGTCCTGCTCTCGCGGCAGCACGCCGACCTGGCTGGTCGGGGCGTGCTGCTGCTGCGGGTGGACAGCGAAGCGCTGCAGCAGCCTGCGAAGCTCGGGAGATATCCGACTTCTGGCGCCGGATCGCGCAGCTCGCTGTTCCCAGCCCCGGACAAATAGGACGTCTTCTGGGTCCCGAGCCACACCGACGACTTGGAATTCGGGGATCTACTGACCCGGGTCAATCCAGACCCGGGTCAGTCAGGCCTTGCATGATCCTGCACCCAAACCTGGGTCAATGCGCCTCTTGGACCTGCAGGATCCTGCAAGATCCGGCGCTCTGACTGACCCCCGTTTGCACTGACCTCTGTGACTTGAGCCCCGAGGAATTGGCGAAGGCCGAGCGCCAGCTTCGGCGCGCTTGCCAGCAAGCCTGCTGGGCCGAAGGGCGGCTGCAGGCCAACGCGGATGCTGGCGCCGCTGCCGAAAGGCGGCCAAGGAGGGCCAAACGATCCCCGTGGGCACAGTGCCCCCTGTGCGAGACATCGGCGAGAAGGCCAAGACTGTCCTCGGCCACATGGCGGCGACCATTGCCTGGGAAGCTGGAGGAGGCTGAGCGCCGCGGCGTGGCCCGTGCCCTCGCCTCCTTCCCCCCCCCATTCCTACCTCCCTCCCCCCGCAGCTGCTGAGCGAAAGCGCTAAACCGTGGGAGTTAGAGTGTTGCCTTTGCCTTTGCCTTTGCCTTTGCCTCCTCCTCCTCCTCCTCCACCTCCTGCTGCTCACTCTTCATGATCCTGCGTCTTCCCACAAACACTGGTCGTCGCCGTCCAACACAGGCTCCAGCCCGAGCCGCTCTCCCGAAAACGCGCAGGCCTGAAGACAAAACTCCCGCTTTGAGCTCTAGGCTCGCCCTCCTCCTCAACCTCGCCCTCGTCATCCTGTGATCAATCGCTCCCCTCAACAACCTACTTTTCCTCGGCCTCATCCTCATCCGACCCGTCCGTGCACTAGGATCAACTTCCAGGGGTTCGAACTAACCAGCAAAGTCCCTAACGCAGCGTCTCTACCGCAGATAGTCTGTTACCTCTCAACGTGCTGGCGGCCCTTGGAGGGTTGAAAGAGGCCATGAGAAGCGATATTGACTGCCAACTCTGGTCGAGGACGAGGAGGAAGCAATTCGAAATTCAAGGTTTTCGGTACTGTTCGTTGGCCGTTGGCGAATTTCCAGCCTCGGGATGCCTTCCAACGGCTGCGCCTCGCCGAGAGGGTTCTGGGGGTGCCCAGGTCGTCCCGGAAAAGCAGTCTTAGGCCCGAGCTCTGGCCCGAAAGCAACAGAAGGGCCAAGCACCCTTCGCATGTTTCTGCGGCTTGCGCGATCAGCCAAGGAACTCCCAAGCACAACCACCCCGCCCATGGGGTGAAGCCTGCAGCCCGCAGGACCCTCTGGGCCAGAGAGCTCAGGCCCGTGGGATCGGATGTTGGGACGAGGGGGTTCAGTGTCAGGCTTGGCTTGCACGACAGGCACGCGTCTCGCCTGCCCCACCGAGGCCCAGACGCCCACCCCCACCCCCCACACGCACAGCCCTTCCGCCATGCAGCGCGCGCCTGTATGAGGATCGGTGCTTGCCCACCCCCAGCCTGGCCAACATCTCATGCGGGCGCTGGTCGAGACGGCGATCGACTTCCACCAGGCTGGGGAAGCCCTGGTCGGCGTGTGTGTGTGTGTGTGTGTGGGTGTGTGGGTGTGTGTGTGTGTGCGTGCGCGTGGCAATTGCATAACAAAAAGACACAGGGACCTGGGGCCCACATTCTTTCTTACTTTTGCGCGTCGCAACACACCGCTCGCCTGCGACCCGGGGGGGGGGGGGGGGGGGGCAAACCCGCGGCCGCGCGCCACTGGCCTTCGCGGCTGCGGAGGGCCTGCTGCAAACGCGCGGCCCCATACGCGAACGATCGCGCGGCGCTGGGAATCAGCGCGCGCGCAGCCAACGCATGTCCACGCGACGCAGACATGCATCTGGACGAAACGAACGCGCGCCATTGACATGAACGGCGGCATCTTGGCGCGCAGCGCGGGCGACCCGGGCGCGCGCGTCGAAAGCTGTGGCGTTCAAGTGCGCTGGGTTTCACTTGTTGATCCGCGGAAATGGCGAATCCCGCAGCGCGCCGCGATCTAGATTGCGGCCCGCCGACCATTCCGCTGCTTCCCGCCTTCGCCACTCCGAGCGCCGCCGACGCCGAACAAGCATATCCTGGCGAAGGACCCAACCATCTGCAGTTGTGGGTACCGCAATTGTGAATATCTTCTTCGGTGAAGCTCCATATGGGGCTACGAACCGCTGGGAACGCATGCGGACGGTATCACTGAGGCCGTCGGTGGAACCCCCTATGGGGCCACGAAACGCTGAACTGGGTGCGCGCATGCGGGCGGTAGCACCAGAGCCTTCGGTGGAGTTCCCTATAGGGCCACGAAGCGCTGTACTGGGTGGGGGAACGCATGCGGGCGGTAGCACTGGGGCCGTCGGTAGAACACCCTATGGTGCCACGAAGCGCTGAACTTGGTGGGGGGGCGCATGCGGGCTGTAGCACTGGGGCATTCGGTGGAGCTCCCTATGGGGCCACGAAGCGCTGTACTGGGTGGGGGGAAAGCATGCGGGTGGTAGCACTGGGGCCGTCGGTGGAATTCCCTACGGGGCCACGAAACGCGGTACTGATGGGGGGACGCATGCGGGCGGTAGCACTGGGGCCATCGGTAAAGCTCCCTATGGCGCCACAAGACGATGTACTGGGTGGGTGAAAATGCAAAATTGGGTGTGTGGGACGCATGCGGGCGGTCCCACTGGGGGCTTCGGTGGAGCTCCCAGTGGGGCCACAAAACGTTGTACTGGGTGGGTGAAAATGCCACATTGGGTGCGTGGGACGCATGCGGGCGGTCCCACTGGGGCCTTCGGTGGAGCTCCCTACAGGGCCACGAAGCGCTGTACTGGGTGGGTGAAAATGCCAAATTGGGTGTGTGACGCATGCGGGCGGTCCCACTGGGGACTTCGGCGGAGCTCCCTATGGGTCCACGAAGCGCTGTACTGGGTGGGTGAAAATGGCACATTGGGTTTTCGGGGCGCATGCGGACGGTGGCACTGGGGCCTTCGATGGAGCTCCCTATGGGTCCACGAAGCGCTGTACTGGGTGGGTGAAAATACCAAATTAGGTGTTTCGGGACGCATGCGGACGGTCCCACTGGGGGCTTCGGGGGAGCTCCCCATGGGTCCACGGCACGCTGTACTGGGTGGGTGAAACGCAAGCAGGAGGGAGGAGGGGGAGAGAGGAATGAGGGAGGAACGCGGGGACCGTCTCTTCGAAACGGAGACCCAACACCACAAGATGGTTGGGAAAAACACGCACGTACACACCCACATCAAAACACACACACACTATTATGTTGTCTTCTGGCCGGTTGGTCCAACACAACGAGAGATTAGCAAGGCCGCTCAATACAAGCAAGTACAGCGAGTATTGACGATACAATGTCCATGAATCACTATAAAACACTGTCGATGTGTCCGCTGCACGCCCAAAGCAGAATGTATGATGAATGCGCCACACGAGAAGGCGCACAAACACAAAACACACAATTTACACAGACACACACAAACACACAATCACAAACCAAACACAAAACACACACACACGCGCGCGCACAAACAGCACACAAACACACACAGACACACACAAGCACACCGGACACACACAAGCACAAGCACACACACACACACCGATCCTTGGCACGGAATTGGTCTGACTGCTATGAAACAGGGAGTCGGTGTATATAACCAACATCAGCGATAAGGGCATAATCGGCACACATAATAAAAGTCCGATGGGCCTTGCAACGCGCCCGCACGCAAGAAAACGAACCACCCAAAGATGCAACACGAACTACCCTCTGGCGCGGGAGGCGAAATGCGTTTAAAGGAGGGCAAAGGACGAAAGACGCAAAGCTCCCTTGCGGAAAGAGAAGGGCCCATCCGGCAAGAGACGAAGGACGCAGGGTTCCTTTGCGAAAGGATAAATGGCCCATACTTCTCGCGGGTTTTGACTGTAGGTGGGGTCCTCCGACTCTGTGTCACGTCCCTCTGGTGTGCGCCTCGGGGGGCGCCGGGCACTGCGGGCGCTGCTACACGCCCCAGCCCGCTCCCGCCCGATCGAAGATCTGGAATATGTTGTTCACGCTGTAGCCCCTCTCCTGAAGGCTGGCAGCTGCGGCAGGGCACGCGCGGCTATCAGCGTAGAGGGCATGTCCGTGTTCTGAACGCACGAGAGGCCGGGATCGACCAGGGCAGGGCTGCTTACTGATGATGATGATGATCATCATCATCAGCATCATCATCATCAGCATCATCATCATCCTCACCATCAACGCCCAAGGCTGTTCAGCAAACCAATTGTGCAAACATCGGGGTGGCTGCTCCCTCTTGGACAACGATACGCCGCCCCCCTGTGTTCCCCACCGGGCTTTCCACTCTGGACCTCTGATGGACAAGTGGCTCGCCACAGGTGGCGTGGACGCGCAAAACATGTTGCAAAAGTAGACTATCAACAAATGTCGCCTGGCCGCTGCTACCGACCCCTCTCTCGCTCAATGCCAAGATGACTCCGGATGGTTCCGAGGGGACCTCTGAGGCTGCTTTTCAGACTGCCCAAGACTGCCCCTGCAGGACGCCTGGGAGTCCAACGAGGTCGAAAAGCAGCCCAAGAGGCACCAAGATGCGCACGACTCCAAGAAATCCCTGGGAGAGCCCAGGAGGCCGCCAAGATGGCATACGAGGCCCCATGGGAAACCCAACATGTCCACAAACACCTAAGAGGCCTCTATGAGAAGCCCCAACGTGTGCCTCCGATGACAGCAAAAATAGGTTCGGCCGAAGGTGGCTCAATGAGAGTCCAAGGAGGGCCCGAGGCGGCCGAGGAGAGCTCCAAGACGGCCCACGAGGGCCCCAAAACGGCTTTCAGACGGCCCACGAGATCCGCAAGACGGCCCAAGCCAAGCGGCGGCCAAGATGGGCCAAGCGGCCAGCAAACAATACTTTACCAGGGAAGCCCCGACATGGGCTGCTAAGATGTCGTAAGGTATCCCTGGAGCGGCCCGGTCTGTCTCCAAGAGGTCCCAAGGTGCCCCAAGAATGGCCAACGAGACCGCCCAGGCAGCCCGAAGGAGATGCTGGATGCCCCCGAAACCCCAAGGAGTGCCTCACCGCCCCCCAAATCAGAGGAAACTGCCACCACATTGTTTCTGCAACTGCTGGGAGGAACACGCAGTCCGAAGAGCTGGCAAGACTTTGACATGTTGTTTGGCCAGATTGGCTTTGCCGCACATGGTAGGAAGCGTGGCGTCTCCAGGAGGCGTCTTCGATCAACAACGAACCAGCCAAGACACCCTCAAAACAAACGAACGCGAACACTCCAACAACAACCGTTTCAGGAATAACGGCCCAAGGAATGACGCAACACTGGCAGTCCTGAGTGGACACCGAAACCAGGATTGCGGAGACTGGAAGGATTAACGTGTCATGTCATAGTGATCGCATGGTCCCAAGACTACTGTATCATCTTTCTCGGGCGGGAGGGAGGAGGGAGAGAGAAGCACGATGACGAGGAGCAAATGGAGGTGGATGGGAAACGTGAATATGAGGAGGGCGAGGGGAAGGATCCCCGTGCAAAACTATGCAAAATATGCGCTGCGAGCTCAAGTAACGAAAACTGCCTTAATCGTGCTCGAGATCCGAGTCTAACTACACCGTCCCTCGTCCCATTGTTGATGGGTCCGCCCCGTTCTGCACCATTTAACATGATGCAACCGTCCCCTTTGGCGAATGTGGATAAGCGTGCCAGCTCGTCGAACCAATACCGTCTCTCCATTATGGGAGCGGCTTGTCGTTTACCTTTCACCCTGTGCCGTACGCTGGCGCCTGGATCCCAGGGTCGCATGGCGTTGGAGCGTCCAGGATGGCACAGAATGGCTGCAATGTCTCAGCGGGCCCAAAATTGCACTGGAGATGTCGCAGCATGTCCTGAGCTGGCCCCAAGCTTCCTACAGCATTGCTCTAAGAGGCCTCGAGGCCCCAAGACGTCAGGCTCTGATGTGGCACTAGACTGTCCCAATGATGCACCCGAAGGCCGCAATCATTGGAGAGCTGCTCGTTTTCGGCCATCGCCGCCTTCTCGCCTTTCGGCTTTCGATGGGCCTCCGAGCCATCTAGATCTGCCCGCGATGGCAGAAAGAAGACACTTTTACCCGCGGGCGCCAAATGGTCCAGGACAGTCGGGCGCCGGTCAGCAAGCGGTGGGGTACACCGAAGGCGAATGGAGAGTCGAAAGCGAAAGGGAACAGGGGCGCGAGAGGAGAAAGGAGGGGCCCGCTCAGACCCTCGGCCCACTGAACACACAACATGTAATGTCCGCCGGCCCCCGCTTGCCGCGGGTGAAGAGGCGTGTCCCGCTCCTCCGTTCCCCCTCTCCTGGGGTCCCAAATGCCATTCTGGCGGGGGAGGGAGGGGGGGGGCGACGAGCTCGTCAACGCACCCCTGGGGCCTCCGGAGCCCCCAGCAAGGCATCCCAACAGGGCTCAGACAAAGCGCCAAGACAGTCGAAGAGAGCGTCATGACGGCCCAGGGTGGCCCCACGACGAACCAAGATGGCTTCAAGATGGCCCTCGAGGCCCCCCAAACAGCCCAAAAGCGCCTCCAGAGGATCGCCGAAAGGGCCGCCAGAGGCCAAAAAGATCCCATTCCACTGGGAAAATGCACGTGTTCAGCACATTCGCATTTTCCGTTTTGGCAACGAACACGACTGCCCAAGTGGCCCCCAAGATCGTCCCAAGACGGCCCATGATGCCTCCAAGGACCCAAGACGGCCCAAGAGGGCCCGAAGACAGCCGCAGGGGCCCCCAAGACGGCCCAAGACAGCCCCTGGAGGGCCCCAAGAGGGCTCAAAGAAAGCCCGAGAGGGGGAATACGAACTGACATTTCGAGCCTTTCCCACCGAGATGGCCCTTCGAGCCCCCCGGAGGCCTCCGAGGCACCTCCAAGAGGCTCCAGAAGGCCCCAGAGGCTCCCGTGCTTTGCGAGGAGCGGCCCAACAGAGAACCTCTGGTGCCTTCCCCCTTTCCCAGGGGGCCCAAATTCGGAGGAGGAAAACATACCCATACTGCTACCCTTCCCACGTTTCCCCCTTTGTGGACCTCCTTTGGGAGGCCCTCGCCGCCACAGCTGGATTCGCCTCGAAATCCTAGTCAGAACGCACCCCGGGGTAGGTCCAGACAGTAGCGGTATCGGTACCTTTAGGTTTCCGCACCAACATCACGCTCGTGCACGAACACAAGCAGGGTAAAGTCAAATTTGATGAGAAGGGATAGCGTTCAGGATGCAAGGCATCGAGACAGCGACTAAAACGTAAAGGGCACCCGGGGGGGCTGATAAAGCAGAACACGTGCCGAGGATGCCAAGAACACAGGGTGTGCTTAGGCACCCCGTGTCTCACGCTCGTCCTAATGACGGTCTTTGGCTATACTGGACCTGCCCCCTCTCCCAAGGGACGGATGGCGCTTGGATGTCGGCTCCTTGAACTTCCAAATGATCGTCTTGACCTTGTCGGACGCCCGCAATGGGTACGGAAAAGTTTGGCACGATGCCTAACAATCAATGTTGCTCAAAACCGACAACTGTCGATGCTGGGTACGCGGCCTTCTCCCTCAACTGGACAACGTCCGCGGCGACGCCGACAGGGAACCTTGTTCAAACGAGCAGGATCGGCGGCGCACCCCAAGGGGGGGGGAAGCGAGAAAAAGCAAGCCTTCTCAGAAGACGGCGAGGCTCCTCAGAAGCCCTCTAGCCTTCTGTGTCTACGGGGACGGCTCCCAAAATTGGGCGCCCGAGTTATCCGGGGTAACTCGGGTCCGGGGTAACTCGGGTTTGGATTCCCGAGAAAGGAACCCGAGTTAGCCCTGACCCGAGTTACCCCTGATGATTCGGGGCTCTGGACGCCCGAGTTATCCGGGATAACTCGGGTCCGGGGTAACTCGGGTTTGGATTCCCGAAAAACGAACCCGAGTTATCCCTGACCCGAGTTACCCCTGATGATTCGGGGCTCTGACAAAACTCCTCCGAAGGCCCGAGGCCTTCCGAGCCTTCTGAGAAGGCCCGCCCCTCCTCGTTTACCCATGGGCTCGCCGCCGACATTTCGATCGTCACGAACCTTGTCCTCCACGGCCAACACTGCGGGGGCGTTGACGCCCGCCAGCGTGTCGCAGAACTCCCGGAGGTCCACGAGCTGGTTCCCGTCCTCGGAGGCGGAGGCTGCACGGCAGAGGCGCGACATCGCTCACACAGGGCTGTGGTGGCATGCCTCCTCCCTGGACATCTGGCGGCTCAAGAAGACGACCGACGGCGAAGGCGACGAGGACGAGGACGAGGGCGACGAGTGCGACGGCGAAGGCGAGGGCAGGCGCAGCGGCGGCATGGCGAAGCCGGCGTGCGGCGGGAGCTGAAGCTCCTCGAATACAGTATTTGTTTCTCAGCTTGTGCCTTCCAGGGCAGGGGCTGCTCTCGGGCACTTGACAACAAGTGTCCAGGATGAGCAGAAACGGTCGGCGAGATGGGGTCGAAAGGACCACGTGCCCACGTCTGGACCGAAATCGAGCTGCTGGACATCTGGGTCCTCCTCTTTGCGTGGCGTGCATAGCCCTGGGGCGTCCAGGCAGAAAACCCAGGAACGAGGCAGCCCTGCCCCCCTAAGCCTCCAGGCCTGGCCTTCTCTTCTCCTGCCGCGCCGTGCCTCCTTCCTCTCCGTCTCGCCTGATCCCCTTCCCCGAATATCACCCCCACACGCTCAGGGTCCCCTCGGAGGACTCGCAGCCGAACCGCGCGCACCTCTGGGCCGCCGAACCGGGCTGCCCACCAGGATGATCACGTCGGGCCCCGGGAGAGCAAACGACGGGGAGGCCGTGGCCGTTACCCTCCTCCTCTTACTCCCTCCCTCCTCCTCCTCCTCCTCCTCCTCCTCCTCCTCCTCCTTGGCGGGGACTGGACGAGCTGGCCGCGAGAGGGCTTCGAAAGAACCCCCCCATGCCACCTCCAGGTCGTCGTCTACCTTTCTGTGGCGCGGGAGGACAGACGGTGGACACTCGTGCTCTTGGCCTGTAACCCTGCGGGGCTGCAACAACGCGCTGGTGGCGACAAGGTATCGCTGAAGTGCATCATTCGTCCCCGTCATACCCTCCTCCTCCTCCTCCTCCTCGTCTTCCTCCTCCTCCTCCTGCCTTCCTCCTCCTTCTCCTGAGTGGGAACGTCCGTGGAGGACTGCCTCACGAGGGGTAACATCGACTTGGAATCGGCGATGCATCGCCGATGGATCGGCGATAAGCCAAATAGGTCCCCGATAACGAGTCTGCCAGATCCTGGGCGCGAAGTAATCAGGCCCCTATCGGTTATCAATGATACTGGATGACCGCCATCACTTCGAGCCTGCCACTCCTCCTCATTTTCCTCCTCCTCCCGTTCCTCCGCTGGGCAGCCGCGGGCGGCGACTCGGCCGGGAGTCCGAAACCGGCTACAGCGACACCGACGGCGGCGGCTGAAGGGGCTCGGCCGCGGGGATATTCGCAGCCCTTTCTGGGGCCACGCGCACGCCGTGTCATGCCTGATTTGAACAGGGACCGACCGTCCCGGCACTCCTACAGGCCTACCACGGAATATTCTCAGAACCGGAAAACATTCTAATATCAAAAACAAGGTTCTTAGAACGTGAAGCCGACGCGCTACTACAAGCCACTCTCAACCAGAAACATGTTACGATAATCTCGTGCAAACCACAAGAGGTTCTTAGAACATGTTGTTGGTCGGCCTGTAGGCAGGCCAGGAGGCATCGCCACTGCTAGACTCATCCTCCTTCACCTCCCTCACTCACTCCCGCTGCTGACACGTCCGCCCGCGCACTTTGATCGGGAGCTGGCACAGTCCCCCCCAACCCAAGAACGATGCTCCGCTCAGCGGTGTCCGTTCCGAGGGAAAGGGGGTGCCCCAGCCAAGGCCTATAGAGCAGCATACAAACCTTGGAGAGAGCGCGTTTCACGGGCGCTTGCCAAGGGAACATTCGGCGGCGCGTTTCGAAACAGGGGGTGGGCCCCCCCCCCCACAACACTCGGCGCCGTCGATCAGAACCAGGGGGACTCCCTTCCCCCCTAACCCCCAGCCTCCTCCCGACCCCCCCCTCCTTTCCCCAGGGGGGGGGGGGGTCCAAACCCCCCCGCCCCAGCGCCGGTGCCGGCGCTGGCGCTGGCGGGCCAGCAGCGCCGACGGCGGAAACGCATCGACGATGACCAGAAGCAGCCCAAGGGGGGGGGGGGCGGGGGGAGTCCAACCCCCCCCCCCGCGCCGGCGCCGGCGCGGCGCCGGCGGCAGCCAGCAGCGCCGACGGCGGCGACGCAGCAACGATTACCACCACCACCACTACCACCACCACCACCACTACCGCCACCACCACCTCAACCCACCACCACCACCAACCCACCACACAATCACCACCACCATCGCCACCACCACCAACACCACAACCACCACCACCACCACAAATCACAACACCACCACCGCCACAAAAACCCACCACCACCACAACCACCATAATCTACCACACCATCACCAGCACCACCACCGCCACAACCACCACCACTACCGGCAGCACAAACCACCACCACCACCACCACAAACCACCACACAACCACCACCACAATCGCCAACACCACCACCATCACCACCAGCACCACCTCCACAGACCACCGCCACCACCACCACTCACCACCACTACCACCAAAAGCCACCAAAAAACGTCACCACACCACCACCACCACCACAACCCACCACCACCACCGCCACCACAAACCACCACCACACCACCACCAAACCACCACCACAACCACCACCACCACCCACCACCACCCACTAACACAACCACCACCACCACAACAAACCACCACACCACCACCACGACCACCACCACCACTCACCACCACCACCACCAAAAACCACCAAAAAACACCACCACACCACCACCACCACCACCACAACCCACCACCACCACCACCACCACAAACCACCACACCACCACCACCACCACCACCATGACCACCAACCACCACCACAACCACCACCACTGCAACAAACCACCACCACCACCACAACTACCACCACCGCCACCACCACCACCACAACCCACCCCCACCACCGCAACCACTACCACCACCACAATCAGCACGACAAACCACAACACCACCACCGCCACCGCCAACACCGCTTTCACCCTCCACCGCCACAACTACCACCACCGAAACCCACCACCACCAACACCGCCACTACCACCACCACCACCACTTGCCACCACAACCACCACGACAACCACCCTCGCCACCACCAACCACACCAAGACCACCACCACCGCCACCACCACCGCCACATCCACCAGCACCACCACCACAGCCCACCACCACCACCACAACCACCTCAGAGAGGGCCCAAGAGACGCCCAAGAGGCGCCGAGGAGGCTGCAGAAATGCCCTTCAGAGGAGGCCCCAGAGATCCCCCCGACGAGACCCTAAGAAGCATCCATTAGGACTCCGACCCAAAACCAAAGCACTGTGGCGGAGCGTCGTCGTCATCGTCGTCGCAGTCGTCCTCGTCGACGTTCCGCGCCGCCGCTGCCCGCCGCCGTAGGCGCCGGCGCTGGCCCAGAAAAGGAAGTCGTCGTCCCCGCCGCCGCCAGCCGCCGCCGACACAGGCGCCGGCCCGAGGAAAGGGAAAGAGGAGAAGTAGAGGAGGAGGGGGAAAGGAGGGGGGTTCGAACCCCCCCCCCTCCGTCACAACGGGGGGGGGATCGACCCCTCCCCCCTCCATCCAGGGGCGGGGGGGTGTCCAGTTCCAACCCACCCACCCCCAACCGACCACAGAACGCGCTGTGTCAAATCTTGTATGTCGCTCTATGGCCCTCGCCGGCACACCCCTCTATAGGCCCTAGCTGCGATGGGCTGGACGCGGTCCACGGACACCTGGTATTACAAGGGAGGCCGTGGACTGCCTCCAGCCCATCCTAGGCGTCCTGGTCGCGCCCCGCGTCGACGAGGTGGCCACAGGCGCCGCGGGCGGGGGTTGCCTCTCTAGGGGGCTCGCCAAGGGCACGGGCAAGCCCGGGCCGCGCTGCGCTCGGCCTCCCCTGGCGCGGGCGCCCGAGGCAGCGCGGGGCGGCAAGCAGAGCGACCGAAGCAAACCGGTTGAGGCTCCATCGGCGGGGGGGGGCCTTGGTTTGGCATGCGAAGTTCGAGGTTCGAGAATTGTTGAGGAAGTCGGGCTTCGGGTGCCGTTTTCGAGCGCTGCAGGACGGTGAAAAACGGATCCGGGGTGGAAACCTACACCAGATTGACCCCAGGAGGACTCTGGAGACCGATTTTGAGCTGATTTGCCCTTATATCCCTGGGCGCCCGGCTCTTACGGTGAACGCATGGGAAAAAAGAACCGTTGGACGGGAAGCCAGGCTCTGGAGGACAGGGTGGAACAAAAATCGAAGTTTGGCCATGGATATCACTGCCGCAGCCCGTCCAGCAGGTGGTGAAGGCATTTTACACCTCTCCGCGTGCACAACCGAGGTCGGGCACTGGCATGCAAAGGGACACTCAGAGAAGCGAGGGGGGGAAAGAAGCGCCGCCCTGCGGCCCGCCACCCTCCACCGCGCCATGCTGAGGGCATTTGTTATCACTTCGCGGGCGGACCCTTGCACGCCCGCATTCGGCACAAGGTGGCATGCCTCGCAGCTGCCAGTCACTGCGCACTGGGAGCTAAACGCCGCACGCATGCGACGGACACGGCACATCCGGTGAGGCTTAACTCCTTCTTTTCCTGCGCGGTGGCACGCGGCTCGCCGAGCACACCCAGCCCGTCGAGCACCAACGTCGCAGTGTCCTCTTTCTCCATCAAGTCCACGAGCGTCGCTTCCCCTTCCGCCTCCAAAGCGTCGATGATCGCCGCCTCCCCCATCAGCGAGAACGCCTCGATCGCATCGACATCCTGCGGACTGAGGCGAACCTCACGCACCTCGTGCACGAGATCCGCGAGGTAGTCGGCCGCAGACCTCATTATGTCAATTCTCTGTTCATGCAAGACGACCTGCACTGTCAACTCGGCCTCCGAGTGCGCTGGGGCCGCCGACACGGTGAGGGCATTGGTTAAGGAACCGCTGGATTCGGACTGCAGGCTCTGGAAGTCGTTGGGGCATCGATCGAGGTTTGGCCACGGATATCACCGCCGCCCTCATCACACGAGGAATCCTCCTGGGTAGATTCTCCAAAGGACGCCCACACCGTACAAGACGCGTCAGTCACGAAGCCTCGTCTCTACAAGGGGGCGCAATGGCCGAAATTGTTTCCGAAAGTGTGCCCGAGCGTCACCGAAACGGGCGCCCGAATTATTCCGACCGCGCCCGAGCGTGACGAAAACTTCTAGTGTGAAACCAATGCGACTTTCAATTTCGGTCACAATTGCGATCATTCTGTTTCGGCCATAGTTTCGGGCTTGTTCTCAATCGGATTTCGAACCCTCTGCCCCAAGAGGACCCCCGAGACCGCCAGCAGGCGCCCTCGAGGCTCCAGGAGACCCCATCAAGCCCTCAAGAAGCCCAAAAGAGGCCCCAAACGGCTCCCAAAAGGCCCCGAAACCGCCTGCCTCCAAGAGGCTTCCGAGAGGCATCCCACGAGACCCCAAGAGGTTCTCGGTCGCACTGTTTTCTCGGTCGGCTGATGGGGGCCGGGCGCCACGAGAGGCGGGTCCTGGACAAAACATTCCCCAGAAATTGCTCCGCCACTCCGGAACTCCCGTGGGGCCCTTCACGGGCCCTGGGACGGTCGACGTGCGACTCGAGGTGAAGAGCTGATCTTCCCGTCTCTCCAACTCCTCTCCCTCGCCTGCTCCTCCCTTCTTCTCGCCTTGCTGCCTCCCCTCTGTCCCTTCCCGCCTGCCCGCCCGCCTGGTTCGTCCGCTGGGACCTGGCCTCCCGCCTGCGCGTTCGCAGTCGTCTGCTGGCTTCTCGGTCCCTGCTCCCCCTCTTCCTCGCCGCGCAGCGCAGACCGCCGGGAGCCGGCGGCGGAGCGCCACAGCGTCGAGCGGAGCAGGCGGAGACGTGAAATTCCGCAGTGCAGATCAAAGGATGACGAGCTCGTCCTGCAGAGGCCTCCCAGACGGGGTCCGAGTAGGGGGGGGCGTAGGAGGATCGCGCCACGTCGCCGATGCATCGCCGATGCATCGGCGATGCATTGGCGATGCACCAGCAACGACAGCGATGCATCGACGTCGGCGTGGAGAAAATCTGGCTCCACATCGAGCCGCATCGTCGATGCATCGGCGATGCGGTGCAGTCCTCCGGCCCTATCTGCTCTGACCCCATCTGGGAGGCCTCGATCCGGGGGCAAGGCCTCGTCGCGCCATGGCTCGCGAAGCGCGCGCATCATCCGAAGAGAGCGGCAGCGCGCGATGTGGGTGAGCGGTCGGCTTCTGCGGGAGCCTGAGCGAGGGCTCCAGCCTAGTGCGAGCACGCACTCGCAAGCAGGCGGCCGACGCGTCCCGGGGAGATCCCGGGGGCCAGGACGCGGGCGGCCACGAGTCGTGTGCGCGGACGAGGGGGGGGGCTCTGGGACCTAGTGGGGCTCTAGCTAAGCAGATCGTGAGGCAGGTGGTGAGCACGCAACCGCTCGCTGGCCTCGAAGGAGAATAACTAATCACGCTTTGACACTTCTCGCTCATTTGTTTGGGGCGGGGCTCCGGCACCTATTCAAAGAGGAGGGCTGCATGACACCTGGGAGACGGCATGGCCCAGCCAGGGCGCCCTCCCCGGCCTCACCCCGCGCGTCGTCGTGCTTTCGGGTCGTAACTCGGGCCTCCAGGGGCCATTCGGGCACCCCTGAACACTCTCGACGAGGCGCAGCCGCTGGACAGCATCTCGAGGCGAGAAAACCTCCAAGACTCGGGGAGAGCCCGTCCTCCCCCGGCCCTCCCCCTGCCCCGTCTCGGGCGCCCCGGGGCGGCCGGGAGCGGACGAGCTGGCGGCCGAGTCGAGCCGCAGACGGCCCATGCCGTGCGTGGGCGTCCTTGTCGAACTGGGCGAAGACAAGCTGCTTCTCCGACTGCGAGAGGGTCTCGCGGGAGGTGGGGCGGTGCGTGGGAGTTCCGAGCGACGACGACGAAGAGGACTATGACGACTACGAAGAGGACGACGGCGGCGGCGGCGACGACGACGACGAAGCCGACAGGAGATGAGGAGGAGGAGGAGGAGGAGGAGGCGAATCCCTGATTCCCCTGCAGACCCTTTACCCCTTCTCCTCCCCTGCCGCCCAGTCTCTGCATCCCCATTCCTTCCAATCGCCCCTCCCCTTCCACCTCACATCCCTATCTTGATCCTGCCCACACTGTTTAGCTGCTCCCTCTCCTCCACTCCTGCCCTCTGAGTCGAAACTGAACCTGGTAACTCAAATAGGGCATATAGCCTGGCAAATTGCATCCATCGCTCTGCTGTGAAGGTACAGTATGAGGGGTGGATGGGTAAGATATGATAAGATCGATGTAATGATCTTTCCAGCACATAGCGAACACTCGCGGTGTCCGGGCAAATAGGGCGCGCGTGCCTTGAGCCCAAGGCAGCGGCGCGCGAGCTATGCTCCCGATACTGTAACATCTCCCAAAGAGCTACCCTTAAAGTCGGGAGGGGAGGAGACGGAGAGCATAGTCGCACGCAAAGATCGCGCGCACGACTGTTTGCAAAGAAAAGAAACAGTGCGTACAGTCTGGTCAAACACCAGACTGTAAGGCGAGTTTCCTCGCAAAGTATTTCACGCAAGTACAGGACAGCCCCTTCAAATACTGAAGGGCTATCGGCTCAGTTAGAGGTAGGCCAAAATTATGCCATACCTCACCAAGCAAACGTGTATTAAGGCAGAGAGCCTGAGTTGTACAAAGCCGGCTCGTTGCCAGGCGTGAAATGTAAGGCTCGTTTCCGAGCAACTAGAGGGGCGCCTTTATAGTAGGCGCCCGTGCTGGCAAACTGGACCGCGGGGCAACAAGGACAGGCTAAAATTGATTAGACTTAGGTTTGTCTCTGTCCTCGGGACCCCGAAAGGGAACAAATTGCTTCACGTCATACCTAAATGACTGAGTGCCTGACATCACTTCCAGAAGCAGCTCCCGATCGATGCTTCCCTTTGTATGCCCATCTGCGGTCATATCCCTAGTATCACACCATTGCACGTTATGTACTATACCTATATCCATGAGCTCACGTATCCAACTGATATGTCCAAGCAGAGTCCGTTCTGTAGGTATTTTGAGATCCCTGCTTGATAAAGATTTGTAGACGGACTCGGCGTCTATGGTAAGAGAGACTTTGATAGCAAGGCCTCCAACTTCACGCATGTCTCGTAGTTGTCGTGGAGTCAAAGCCCCTGCCTTAAGCTCGTGGAGAGTAATGAGCGTAGGGTAACACTCATCAAGGTTATGTGCGGCTGCAAGTGCCTCCGCAGCATAACTGGACCTCACCTGTAATCGGTGTGATTTGCATAGTCCGTCACAAAGGTGAACGACGGACTTGCCTTGGGGCGAGTTTCCTCGCCGTAGTACATTGGCCCCGCGTATGCCGTAGCCCTTGGTCTCGTCATCCTCCTCCCCGGTAAGCTTCCGATACCCCGAATCGCTATGGATGTCAATTTCATTCGTCGGCTTCATCCGAGGGAAGTTGATGCGCTTCGGACTGCTGATCAGCTTTCGCGTCGCAGCATTCAAACGTCTAACTTGTAAATTGGCGGGCTTTTGAATTTTCTGAAGAGAGACCACATATACCATAAGCCAGATTTGGGTAAGAAGGGCATAGGCGAGGGCTCCTCGCAGGCTGACGAACATGTCGGCAATGAGTTTCGTGGCTTTGGCGTCGGCCGCCGCTCCTGTAAGTTCTGGGTGTGTGATAGGACGTAGTTGTTTGATATACTCGTCCTGGTCCATGATCACATCTCCCTGATCATTCTTAGTGTAGCGAACGGCGCAGTTCGTATATGTGTGCTTGTTAAGCTTGCATTTGCCCAAGACCTTTTCGACGCGTTGTACATAGTCGTCTATATTTTCTCTAGACCTGTCATGTTAATATCATCAACATGTTTTGCCGTCAGAAGGTTTTGGCTGAATTCAAATTCAGGATCATAGCTGGTCGGTGTAAGTCCTATAGCTCGTGTGGTCGTACGAAGTTTGAGAGAGAACGCTCTTGGAGCGTCCTTAGTACCCGTTCCTGGTTTGAGGCATCTAAGACAGTGTCGACTTTCGTCGTAGGATGAGAAGCCGGGTAAGGTACGAAGTACCTGAGCGCTTCCTGGTGGAAGAGTAAAGCAGACCATGCGAGTTTCCTCGCCGGTGGCATGGGCAAGTTCCTCATAGGTCAAACCTTTTAGGAACGCCTTATCGATATCCATGGATGCTAAGATCCACTCTGGATGACATGCCGCTTCGCTTGCCAGGAGTCGTTGGGACTGCCTTCGGGCGGTTCCCGAGAATGTTTCCACATCAAAAGCCTCAGTATCCATAAATCCACGAAGGACCAGTCTGAGACGAATGGTTTTAACGTTCTCGGTACCCATCTTTACGAACTTCCACTTGTATACGCATCTGGATGTCATGATGTTGGAAGCTTTGGATAAATCGTACATCTCAAAGCATCGGTTATCAATCCAGGTTTTGAGCTCAGTATGAAAGGCTTCACTAACCTCCTTTGGATGTGCTGCTATGTCAGCTTTGGTCAGTAGATCATCTTCTTTGACAACCACAGCACGTTTAGCAGCGGAGGATACATACACTCTCATCGTTGCGACCATATCGGTATCGAGCTGTGCAAGCTGAGTCTGATCCAACACAATTTTTGACATTTCTGATGTAAAGCATAGTTCAAAGTAAGGACCGTATTCATCACTGTCTAGAGAGTAGCTCTCGTCGGTTGTGTTTGAACAAAGAGATACTAGACAGGACTCACATGATTTCGGCTCGTCTCCGAGCATATCTGATGATGTAATATCATCTTCGTCCACAGATGCTGAAACCAAAACACATAGGTCGGGCAGCATAGTTGTTGGGACGCAATACAGATAATCATCGGTAATCGTCGTAGGATGAAGGTCCATACGTAGCTCGTCGCACCACTCTTCCAGCATCATAGCTTCGATATTGTGTTCCTCATTTTCCTCATAGATTGTCGACAGACGGCCTTCGCTCGGCGATGAAGCGTCTGGTGTGTCTGGAGAAGGCCTGTTTCCAGGCGACTCGTGTTCTCCAGACGTGTTGCTTGGATGCTGATATTTAGCCAGATCGTCGTGGAATCCTAAGGAAGGAGCACGTGAAGTCAAGCATTGAATGAGTCTGGAGTGAGTGCTACCAGTGATCTGAGAAATGTTTAAGCCAGTGCCCACACATTCGTAATAGTGAAACGCCGGGCTGATGTCGTTGTCGTAGTGGATCAGCGTAGACCCGGTGGCGTACTTTACTGCAGGTAGACTTGACACACTCCTAGCCAATCGAACTGCTACTACATGTTCTACTCGGAAGTAATTTCGTACGAGATACTGTAGTGCTAAGTGTACGCGCGGGTGAAACTTGCTGTCGTCTGACAGATTAAGGTTTCCCTTTTAATCGGGGATATACCGAAAAAACTTTGGCAGGTTTCCCTGCGCCGAGGTGTGCGACATAAGCAAGGACGGTTTGCATGGCCATATTATCCATGCCAAGTTCCCGTGTGAGGAGACATTCGATGTATAGTGTGTGACGAGCATCAGGATACATCACAATTACCTCACGAGATCCTGCCTTGACAACAATATGTCCTCTTTCAGGCACGTTTCGGATCACCGGGAATGGGCCGTTCCAGCCTCCATGGTCGTCCTTGGTGGCAGTAGGTCGGTGGTAGTCGACCAAATCCCCTGATGAGTAGAGGCGAGCACCATCAGGAGTCGTCTTAGCCCTAAGAGCCCGATTTGTCTTGGCTACAGCAGTAGCCTGAGTTATAGCTTCGAGGCTGACTTCCCTTACACGACGTTCTCGTTCGTGTCCTGAAGTCTCGGGTCCCTTGGGAAAGTCAAGGGTATCGAGATCAGGAAGGAAGGAGGGCTGCCGTCCTGTGTGTGCCTGATATGGCGATACTCCGTTATAAAACGTAAACGCATCAGTAACGAAGATGCCTTCCGCCAATACTCTAGTGAATACAACGGGGATGTTGTGTCTATTTAATTATTCCTCAATCATGTGGAGGACGCCTCTGAGAATGCCGTTTCGTGACTCAATTGAAGTCGCGTGTTGGCCAGGTGCACGGATACGAAGTTCCGTGCCCTTATTGGCCATCATGGTTTTAGCGGCATCGTTATTCAGGGCGCCTTCTCCGTCTGAGTATAAAACTTTGAAGGGTCCGTGATAGGCAATCCAGCAATAGTGGTAGGCGTCGATGATAGCGTCACGTTCTCTGTCGGAAATCTCTAGGCCTGCTGCCAGGCGAATACAACGATCCATAATATGAAATATGGTCCGTTTCTTGTAAAACATGAGGTCCATTTCCCCTTCATCGAGCCAGTTACCAGGGAGGCTTACCGATGGTAATGTTGAGTTTCCTGGACGTTCCCATGCTCTACATTCCCGACAGGTATCGCAGATTTCCTTGATCATGTTCAGTCGAACGTTATCAAGCCCCACCTTTTCGAGGATTAGCCTCATCTTTGGCTCCTTCGCATGATACCATCGCAGATGCAGTTTTCGGAGTTCCTTTTTCACAACATGGGGTTCGTGACTACGGAGACTCTGTAGACTGTGTTGGATGTCAAATCTCGTCCAGTCGGGTAGTCGTGGAGCCCCAGAGCCGGTGGAGGCAAGAGGGTTCCTTGTAGCTCTCCGTAGTTGATCCCCTGTGTTGACTGCGTCTGGAGGTGGTGGTACGCCTTGTAGACGTCCGCGGCGGGCCGCTACCTGTGGCGTGTCGCTAGAAGACGCAGAAGGCGTGTTTCCACGCTCGGGGGCGTCTCGTAGCAGGTCGTAGCTGCTGGTACCAGATGTCGGATCGACGTTACCGAAGGATCGTGGTCGTGGCGGCCTGGCGTGTGCGCCTTGGCGGCCACCTGAAGCTGAA